AACTGTATGCGGGCTATTAAAGCCAGCACTCAACCACGGGATGCTTTGAGCTTCTTTTGTTTTATTGCGTAATAAATAAGAGAAAATAATGATTGTGTGTTTTGCTTCATTTGCTTCAGCTGCGCTGCTTTGTGCTCCATGTTGCTGCTCCGTGTATCCGTCACTTGGCACGCATCCCAGACACACTCGTATGCACGACACGCCCACAACTGTTTGCGTGGACGCATTTCTGTGTGAGAATGCATGCACACTGGAGTCATTCGTTGCAGCTTCTTGTGTTTTGTTTTTTGTGTTTTTACTTTTTTTTTACTTTTTTTTTTTCTGCTGTTTTTTCGTTGTTACTTGTTTTTTGTGTTCATTTTGCTTGTTTTTTACTTCCTTCGGGTCTTTGTGAGTTTTTCTTTTTTAATGGTTTGTTTTCTTTAATTTTTTCTTTTTATTTTGTTTACTAATCTTTTGCTTCACTCATCCCTTCTTTTTTTTGCTTTCGGGGGCAATCAATATGGAAGTTTTTTTCTTTTCTACTCTTCCCTCTTTTAATTGTTTCTTCTGCACTCTTCCTGTGAGGGGTGCCGTGTGTTTCCCGCCCAACTGCTCCACTCGCACACCCACCGACACGCTCATGACGACGGCCCTGTGCGCCTCGCCTGCTGCACGCATGAGGAGGGGCCGCGACGAACGGCGCGCTGAGGGAGCCGTGACGTGTGGGCGTGCGACGAGGGCCTGTGGGGCGGAGCACACATTTCTTTCCCTCTTGTTTTGTTTTCCTTGCGGCCAGGGCGGGCAGACACCCGCAGCGCCACACACACAGCCACACCCTGCCGCCGTGTTTTCTTCTGTTTTGTTTTCGTTTTGTGGATGGGTGTGTGCTGCCACCGTGCGTGATTGTTGAGGTTGTGGCCGTACCGCATGCATCGCTGCCATCCAGCTGTGCCTCTTGCTGAGTTGACGTATCTCCCTGTGCTCCTTCTCTTTGCAGCTTCTCCAACAGACACCCACACACATATGAGTATTTGCACAGTGCTCTGCAAGAACGTTTTTGGTAACGAGGGACGTTGGCTGACGTTCCATGCTGAAATGATGACGGTGCCACGATGGTCTCCTCTGGCGATGACAGTCGCTGTGTTCTCGGCACACACTTCAACGCACTCTTCCTTGTCTCTCTGTGGGGGTGAGTGCGGCAGCAGCGTGGTCTACGGCAGCGGCAGCTGGTGCCTTGGAGAGGAACGAGGCGCCGAGGGACAAGAGGGCGAACCTGCTGGACGCGATTACGATGGCGGATGAAAGCTGTTTCGTTGCCTTTGCTTCGTACATTGCTATGAATGCGCCGTGTCGCTTTCTGACGGGATGCCTGCACTCGGCACCCTTCGAGGCATTGCGTTGTTTCATTTAGTGTGATGTCACAATCATCATGGCAGCATCTTCCCTCAACGGCTCTGAGTGTGACAATACGAATGACGGCAAATAGAGCAATGAGGATTATGGGTGACGACTTGCACCGAGGGGCGGATTATTTGCGTGTCTTGGCACACAAATCCTGGGAGGGTTTGAATGCCGTCCCCACAATTCCCGGCCTTGAGGAAATGTTGGTCTTCGCGCTGTCACCCGCCGTAATTAGTGCCCCATGCGTTGACGCTGATCCATTTACCGTGGAGTTCACGCAGCAAGTCTCGAGTGGCTGTGCTGCTGGTCCCGCGTTGGCCCTTTCGCATGTATTTCAGCGTTGCCTGGAGTGTGATTTGATGCCTGTGTTGTCCAGGCCGCCGCCTCCAGTTTTCTTTTTTTGTGCCCAATAAGAAACACTTTGCGTTGCGGTGGATATTTATTTGCGTGGCCGTCGATGCACGTGACGATGCTCAACGGGTGTGTCTTTTGTTTGGTGGGCACGAGGGAGAATTCGGTGTGCGCCGACACCTCCGCGAAAGTCTTTGTTGACGGATGGAGGCGAAAATAAGGGAGGTCTGTCCGCTGCATCTCTCAATGCAGCTGCGAGGCACTCCGGACGCACAGAGTGAATGGATGGATGCCGCGCAGCTGGGGAGACCAGTTTTCTTCGTCCTCCGTTGCCGGGGGAATCGAGAATCCACAGCGTCACTGCCAGCTGCATTTTACTGCGGGGATCGACTGTTCTGATGTTGCCCGTCTAATGTGAATTACAGCGTCAGTGCAGGAAGACGCTTTCACGCATTGCGAGTAGTTGCTCCAGGCTCGAGCTCATCAATCTTTACAGCGGGGAGCAATGCATCTTGGTGGCCGGTGACGTTCAGACGAGTTTGTTTCACTTCACCCGCCTCGTATTTGTGAGGGACACTGCGCATCGACCCTCCCCAACAGTTCCACCACCTTCACTTTTCCCCACCAACCGCTGCCATCTGCTGACGGTACAGTTGTTTGGCTCCGCCAATAATGCGCTCGTGAAACTTCCTCTCCGCACGCTGCAGGATTATTGCCGTGGAGGAGTTGATGGCATATGGTGCGGGTGTGGCGTCGACAGAGTCATCCACGCTTTGTCTTAGAAACATGACTCTGAGTCGTGTCAGTCACGCCGTGTTTCCTTTTTTCTTGCTGGGAGTCTTGTGGGTGTGTTTGAGCCCTTTTAGGAGCCTGTGTAGAGAATGGTCGCGGGAGAGCTGGCTGCCTTAATGAATGTATATATATATATATATATACACCCTGATAGAACGAATATACACTTCTTTAGGACACTTTTCTACCGTATGAGTTTTGGGAAGGCCACGACTTTAGGGAGCCGACAGCGGCCGGATAATTTTTTATTTTTATTTTTACCATCGCACCCACCCCCTTTTGGTTCCCACCACGCGGCGGTGTCTTGTGGCTGCAGGACCCCAAAAGTCTGCCACCTCGTAAGTAATAAATAAATATATGTATCCTATCCGAATAGAGTGGGCGGGCCACGATTGTGGCTAACGGATGGTATGTATATATAAACATGCGTTTATTTGCCTCGTGTTGAACTTTGAGGATGTGGTGAATCCACTCTTATTCCGTTGATCCCTCACTTATTTCTATCTTTTTTGGTTTCTATCATTGAGAAACTCAGGATTTGGCCAGCGGCCCAGAAGATTATTCTTTATTGCAGCACCTTACCAAATGGAAGCAGGAACAACACAAACCGAATTGTTGGCTGCACCAACACAAGAAACATTCACAAGAGGAAAGAAAGCAAAATGTGCACCCTGCAGAAATTCCCAACACACGACCCAGGCATGAAGGCTTGTCCTTCGCAAAAACAAAACAACGCATGCAGGCATCTGCCAACATCCAAACAGAAACACAAATAAATGATTGCTTGCATTATTCCATTCCTTGCGCTTATTTTTGAGTGTGCTGCTGCTGCTGCGATGTTTGCCGGGAATGCATGAAGTGGTGTGCGCTGAATATGAAGGAAGGCCGAAGGCAACTGAATTGTTTTTGTGATGAATGTTGGCTGCGCCTCCCGTGGACCAACAATCCACGTGGTGTGTGGGGATCTCTCCTTTTAATTGTTACTTTGCTTTTTTGTTGCTGTGTGCGAGCTGCACCTCCTCTTTTGTGTGTGCGCACCCTCCGTGAGGGGTGCCGACACGACGGACCGCTCTCGCCGTATGTGCATGCGGTGGAGCCTTGTGTGCCGCTCCTGTTTGCTTCTCCCTCTTCCATCTGTGTGCGCCTGCTGCCGTGGGTTGGAGTGTGTGTCGTGCGTGGTGTGCGGCGTACGGTGCATGCCTGGCTGCTGCCCTCTCCTCATGTGGTGTGCCCTCTGTGTGTGTCTGCCGCACCTCTCGTCTCCCCTGTTGCTCCCCATGTCCCTCACTGTGCAGATCAGCTCCACACCACTGAACGACCACACCCACGATGATGACGTGCCGTCTGCTGTGCGCCCTGTTGGTGCTCGCCCTGTGCTGCTGCCTTTCCGTGTGCGTGGCAGTAAGTGAAGTTAATGATACCCCCAGTGCGGTCCCCGCTGTGCCAAAGGTACCAGGGGTACAGGAACCAGTTGAGAAGGGAGTGGAACAAAGCGAAAGAGTAGAGAAGCCAGTTATTGCGGCCGGTATGGAAAACACACAAGGTATGGTATCCGGTGGGTCGTCCAACAGTCAAGGTGCTTCAGGTGTGTCCGGTCAGTCCACGTTACAAACTCCTGGCGTTCCGCTACGGCCACCTACTGTACCAACCGTTGCGTCAAGGGAACAAAGTGGGCTGATTGTACCCGAAAGAGAAGAAGAGAAGAAGACGACTGCATCAACGACCCCGACGACCACAACCACAAAGGCACCAACCACCACCACGACGAAAATTACAGAGGCGCCAACCACGACGACCACCAGCGCACCGTCACGTCTTCGCGAAAGCGACGGCAGCCTCAGCAGCTCTGCGTGGGTGTGTGCCCCGCTGCTGCTCGCCGTATCCGCGCTGGTGTACACCACTCTGGGCTGAAGAGGTGTATGCGGGCTGTGCGTGCCAGCACTCAACCGCGGGGATTTGTGTGCGTCTACTGTTGTCCGATGTAAATAAATAAGAGAAAATAATTATTGTGTTTTGCTTCACTTGCTTCCGCTGCCCTGCTGTGTGCTCCGTGTTGCTGCTCCCTGTATCCGTCACGTTGAACGCACCCCAGACACACTCATACGCTCAGCACGCACACAACTGCTTGCGTGGAAGTATATTTGTGGATGGGTGCATGCGCACTGGAGCCATTTGGTGCAGCTGTTTCTTTTTTAGTGTTTTGTGTTTTTGATTTTTTTTTTACTTTATTGCTGTTTTTTTTGCTTCTGTTTTGTTTTTAATTGTTTTTTGTTTGTTTTTCTTGCTGATCAATTATTGCGGGGCTGTGTGTATTGGTTTTTTTTTTGCTGATTTCAACTGCCTCCGGGTATGTGCGCTGAGCTGCTGCCATTTGTCACTTTGTGGTGACTGTGAGTGTGTGACTTTTATTTTCTTTTTGCTGCGTTGACGGGGAGTTAGTTTGTGCTGAAGGCTACACGCAAGTGACAGGAGTGATGGCGATGATGATGACTGGCCGTGTGCTGCTGGTGTGTGCCCTCTGCGTGCTGTGGTGCGGTGCCGGCGGTAGATGTGAAGATTTGGGAACCTTTTCTTCTGAGCCTGTAGTTGACAATCCCGTTAATGCGCCTGGCTCCAAAAAAGGCAGTGATTTGCCAAAAAGTAATGACAATGAAGACCCAAAAACTTTAGGGGAAGGTCAAAATTGTGATTCGTTGAATTTGCCGGAGAACGAGATCTGCACGAATGATTCAACTAAGTCGTCGAAGTGCACTGAGGGCCCAGAAGATGCACTTGTTTCTCCTTTGGATCCTGTTGGCCAAGGCGAACATCATGAAGTTCAAAACAGCGGGAGTTCTGGCTCTTCAGAAAAGGATAAGACTCGGAAGGACCAGGACTCACAGGTAAGGTTACATGATGGGGAAACATTATCGCGAGAACCAGCAACATTAAAAGATCCCCAAATTACGATGCCAGCAGAACATTCATCCTCACCCTCACCATCAAAGGGAACCCACGAGACAGTGAGCTCAACAGATATCTCTGGTGTCGGCGATGGCACAGTGCAGAGAGATAATATGCAGAATACGTTAAATGGTAACGATGGCAGCGAAAGTCGAGCTTCACAGCTTGACTCCGCCAGTGGTAACACTCAGACCTCTGTTGATGAGGAAACCTCTTCAAATGGCGGCGCACCGCAGGTCAGTACTGCTGCCGACACTGACAGTGCAGGATCCACAACAAAAGCACTCAACACTGCCGACACAAAAAAGGAGAATTCTGGCGGTGGTGACAGCAGCCTTGCAGCCTCACCAGCTGTAGGGACCAACACTGCCACAACCACCACGTCAGCCACTCAAGATGCGAGTGAATACAACAAGGACGGCGTCAAGTTATCCACCGAAGAAGTGGAGCAGAATGCTTCCAAAACCAACCCTACAGCAAATTCAGGCTCAACAGAAACCGCAGCAGCCAACAGTGAAGTGCCCACGGCAGCAAGCAACGCCACAAATAAAAAAAGCAATACAGAGACCACAGCAGACAGTGACAGCAGCACCGCGGTCTCTCACACCACCTCCCCTCTTTTGCTTCTTCTTCTTGTTGCGTGTGCGGCTGCTGCTGTGGTGGTGGCCGCGTGAGAGTGAGGGAGAGAGAGCCGTGCACCGCCCGCACACACACTCGTCTTTCACCCACTCTCTGTGTGTGTGTGTCCCCTTGCATGGACTCTCGCCCTCACCTCACCCCACGAAGCACACACATAATGTGCCCATTGTATATATGCGTGCACACCCATGCAGGCCCGTTGGTGCTCTCTTTTGCACGACACGCACCGCTGCCGTCCTGCCTGGCTGCATGGGCGGAGCACCGTAACTGTTTCTGTTTTGTTTCCATTGCATTGAGTGGGCGACCTCTCTCTCTCTCCCTGTGTGTGTGTGTTTTGCTTTACGGGAGCAATGAGAGTGTGTGCGCTGGTCTTCCCACGCTTCGACTTCTTGCGTTGTTTTACTTGTGTTGTGGTTGAGAGCACCCATTTCGCGGGCTGCGTGTGTGTGTGTGATGATATGAGTAATTTGTGCGTGTGCAATATTCGCGTGCTTCTCTCTCTGCCGTTGCTTTATTTGGACTCTCTTGTGCCGCACAGCTGCTCTGCATGCATAGGCGATGACATAGGCGATGACAAGCACACAAGCACATGCACACACACGCCATGTCGCACACAAGTGGACAGCCCCTGCACTACTAGAGGAGCTCTCGGCGCGCTTTGGAATGTCGCAGCGGGCACCATTGTACTCGGTGTGTTGGCGCCTGTGGCTGCCTTTGGCGACGCTCCGATCCGCTCTGTTTGGAAGTGCCCGGCGTGGTCGTGGGGATGGCTGGAGAGCAGCGGCGGACACGGTGACCTCTACGCAGTGAGCTCACAGTAATTTCCTTGGCCAGTGGCAGTGCGGATGGAACTGCCATAATGATCGCACCGCCGGCACGCTTGTTGTCGAGTTCCCCGAAAGGAGAGCAGTGAAAGAAGGTCCGTCCGCATGACTCTTTGCATCTCCGCCTCAGGGCTGCGCCTCACAATTGGGGTTGCCGTGCGGTTATGCAACAGGGTATGATCTGCTGGGAGAGCGCGCTGTGCGATGCTCCTGCATCTGGGACTGTTGCTGTGCCGTTGGCGGATGTTGAGTGGTCGATCAGACAAATATTGCGACACCACGAGGAGAGCAGACCAAACACTCCGCGTGGAGGGAGCGTTGCGGCTGGTGAGGACTCTGTGCGACGGTGATGGACGTTCTCTCGACGGCGGATTGACGGATTGTCCATTTGGTGGGGTCGGTGCGCATGCTGTGTGTATGGCCGCCTCTGTGGTCTCCTGTTACTTCGCTGCGTGGGCCGCATTCTGACGCATTACTGGTCCAAAGCCATTTTGTTTTTCTTACTCTTCTTTTTCCTTTGTTTCTCTCCTCCCGCATCCAGGCTGCGCCACTGCTGCTTCTGCTACTCACACGAAACCAGGAAATGCATTTTCCTTAAGTCATGCGCCAGCCACGCCGCGCCACACCGCTTTTCCCACTGGTGGTGTTGCTGCTGCACCAGCCACACAATACCGCTGTGGGTTTGACGTGCTGAAGAGGAGGAACGGCCCGCTGTCGACTGCGGTGGTGCGTGAGGTGCCGCGCAAGGGACAAGGCGCGATGCAGGCGTACACCGTCGCCACACAGGATGACGACAGTGGCTGGGAGCCGATCCGCATTGCGGTGTCCACGGAAGATCTGGAGAGAGGCACGAACAAGAGGAAGAAGTACTGCGAAGAGGGAGAGGATGAGTGCTACAACGCCTTGGGGCACAGGGTGTCATGCAAAGCAGAGCATGTCTTGACGGAGGCAAAGACACAATTGTACACTTGAAGCATTCTTCCCGGTGCCGTCAAACTGCACACTGAGCGACTACTTGTGAAACCCACTGGTGGGACGATAACTGTACCGAGGGCTATGAATGGACCGTGCAGCCACTTTACGGTTCCTACCAGGCACAAGAGTGACGGTGTGCCGAATGCAGATTTTATCATCTACGCTGCTGCTAGGCCATCGGGCACGGATAGCAGGGCTGTGTGGGCGGCCACGTGTAACACATTGACGGATCTTCGCCCCTACATTGGCGCCATGAACTTTGATCTGAAGTGCATGACTGACACGGCGTGGAGCGTTCGCGTTGCCGCACAAGAAATTGCACATGCACTTTGGTTCAGCCAGGAGAGCATGGTAGAAAAGAGCCTGGTGAAGAAGCGAGAGAGAAGTGTACGTGGGACGCACCGCAGGATGGTGGCAGGGAAGCACGTTCAGGAGAAGACGAAAGCGCACTTTGGTTGTAAGTCTCTCGAGGGCATGGAGCTGGAGGACGAAGATGGCCCTCGGGAAAAAGCGATACTTCACTGGAAGGGACGCCACGCGCGGGACGAGCTGATGGCCCCCGCAATTGGTGCCGGCTACTACACGGCTCTGACGATGGTGGTTTTTGCGGATATGGGATACTACCGCGTGAATTGGAGGATGGCGGAGCCGATGAGCTGGGGCCACCGCAGTGGCTGCGACTTCCTGGAGAAGAAGTGCAATACAACCGATAATCTTGCCGCCAAGTATCCTCACATGTTTTGCGATGCTAAAGACACAGAGACGCTTCGCTGCACCTCCGACCGCCGTCACGTTGGGAAGTGCACCGCAAGCATCGTTGAGGACAGGGGGAGTCTGGTGGATAAGGACGTTTGCCCTGTTGTTTCGAGTTTTACGAAATATCGTCTGGGACAACGTACAGGACGTGCTCGGACGAAAATGTGGATTATCTCCGTGGGTCGCTGACTTGCAGTGGCTCGTGGTGCCTGGACGCGGAATTACTGGAGACGAAGGACGGTGATGGCCATAAAAGCGTCAAGGGAGTGTGCGCGCAGGTGTCGTGTGAGGAGGGCACAGTGAGGGTGAGGCACCTCGGCAGCAGTGGGTTTCAGCCTTGCACTGAGGACACTGACATCCCAGTGACGTTGAAAGATTTTAGGAAAGGTGGGAAGATCAAGTGCCCCACGTACGGCGAGGTGTGCACCATTGCCGCGAACGGCAGCAGTCTTGTCATTCCGAGTGCGTTGGTGGATGGACAGGGTGACGAGCAAGAGGAGGAAGCAGAAGAGTCTGCGGTTGCTTCAGGGTCGCCTTCTCCGGAGAATACTCGTCCACAGTTGTCTCCTGTGGCGTCTGGTGCCTCCATTGAAAAGGAGCCTCCCGGTGCTTCGGCTGCGTGTGTCGCTTGTGGTGGTCTTCATGCCGGTCCGAGGGGTGATCCGGGGGTGCGGACCGAAAGTGAGGACAACACTCAGCGGCGAGGGAGGAGACCTGGCAGTGGAAGCGAGGGAGCCAACAGAGCCTCCGGCCCCGACGCCTTTTTTTTTGCGCCATCACCCGGCGAGGACGTTGCACGAGCGGAGGGCGACCCGCGGGCGGATTGCCCAGCGGTGATTCCCAGTGCCTCCGTGCCTGCCACTCCGATTCCGTCCGTCAACAGAGACGATTTTCGGGCGATACCTGATGCGTTGGTACAGCAGGCCGACAGTGACGGCGGTGTGGCTGCTGCTACCGCTGGCCTCATTCCCTTTGTGCTTCTTGTCGTGGTCGCTGCGGCGGTAGTAGTGGTGCCTCTTTGAGCGGCCGCGGCGGCTGGGCGCAATCAAACTGCGGCAGGGCGACGGTATTTACTTGGCACATTGGCCCCGCACTCAAGATGTGCAAAACCGTAGCAATAACACTATAATACACTCAATGCATTCCCCATGTCCTTCTTTGCTTGCGGGTGATGGGCAAAATGACCGGTCTTTTATTGCCTTGTTTGTTATTCTGGGAAAAGGTGTTTTTGTTTTATTGCTTGGAGGGTCTAACTTCCGTGAAAACTGTGTGTGAACGAAGTAACATGGAGAGAAAAGACATTTCCCAGCACCACATGTATACACGCGTTTTTTGATGCGATTGGGACGAGGGGAAACCACCGTACTCTAATCATGAGTAAAAAGTAAAGGAAATGTGCTCCAATGGATGCGGGGTCGTGCCAGTAGCTGTTTCTCTGAAGGGCAGGGACGACTGCCTCTGCCTCCGTAATTGGTGCATGCGGCTTTATCTTTTACACTTTTGCTTGTTTTTGTGACTTTGCTTTTTTGTGTGTGCGTCATTGCGAGAATGTGGACCCCAAATAATTTCTGTGCTTCGGCTTTTAATCTGCATGCGCCCTTTTTATTTTTCTGCCTTCCCAATTTTTTGCATCCTTTTTTGATTGGCTGTGTGTGTTTCTCGGGTGCTCTGCTGCACTCTGGGTAGTGTGTCTTACTTCCTTCTGTTCCTGCTCTTCTGATTGGGAAAAGACGCTGTGGGTCAGGGTGCATGGCTCCGTGGTTGCGGCACTATTTGTTGTGGTTGCGTTGGGGCAGCCCCGACAAGACTGCGAACGTGTGGCTCTTGGGTGTCTTGTTGGGCTCATTTCCGTCTCCTGCGCGATGGACTCCCATCGTCGGCGCACTCTTTCGTGCGGTGGCGTCAGCGCAAAAGGTGGCGGTTTTGTTGTTGTTGCTGCTTCAGCTGTTTTGTGTTTCCCTCTGGTATTGTGAGGTGCGGGTGTCGGATGTGGCGGCAATGTGCCGAAGATAAGGAAGGAGGAGGACGGTGCGTGCGTGCGGGAGGACCCTGCGGTGTTGCAGCGGTGCGCACTGTTTGCGGGCTTGATGCGCCCCTTTGGTGCATGGCGTGTCTTGGTGTGTCCTTCTTGCCGTGTGTGGTGCCAGCCGGCTCTTCACGATTGTGGCAATGGCGTGTTGACAGCTGTGTTTGGGTTGGCGTTGGCTGTTCCACCCTCTGGGGCTACGAGGGCGAATGTGTCAAAATGAGCGACACCAATCGCGCACGACGCCTGGTCTGCAGGCAAGTGACGCACCGATTGCCGACGCGGCGCGGCCCTCTTGCCTTTTTTCGTCCCTCTGGTAGCCTACAGTCTGATGTCTAGCCGTAGTGGTCTCCTCTTTTCTCACTCCTTGTGTGCCGCACCTCTTTGCTTCTCCCTCTTCCATCTGTGTGTTGGTGTTGCGGTAGGGCTGTGTGTGTGTGTGTGTGTGTGTGTGCCTGCTGCCGTGGATTGGAGTGTGTGTCGTGCGTGGTGTGTGGCGTACGGTGCATGCCTGGCTGCTGCCCTCTCCTCATGTGGTGTGCCCTCTGTGTGTGTGTCTGCCGCACCTCTCGTCTCCCCTGTTGCTCTCCATGTCTCTCACTGTGCAGATCAGCTCCACACCACTGAACGACCACACTCACGATGACGACGTGCCGTCTGCTGTGCGCCCTGTTGGTGCTCGCCCTGTGCTGCTGCCCGTCCGTGTGCACCTCAGCGACTCCGGAGGAGGATGATGTTTCCAGTACGACGACGAACACGACAACACAGGCACCAACCGCTAACAAGCCGGGTGGCGCTGATGAAAGCGTCAACAGTCATACATCTGCCTCTTCAGAGTCAGGACTACAAGGGAAGGATCAGTCAGGGTCATCAGGTTTGGGCCCCGTTGAGGACGAGGGAACGAAAGCCGGAGACGGTCCAGCTGCGGCCACTCCGGAAAAGCAATCAAACGACCAGAACAATGTGGTACATACCGAAGGTAAGGAAAGCACGACAGGGTCACAAAGTAGTACGAGCAGTTCCCCGGAAAAGGAAGATAATAAAGCCGAAGATGCTCCCACGACGACGACCACCACCACAAAACTTCCAATTACGTCCACTACTGCGCCAGTGGCACCAAGTACTACAACTACAGAGGCGCCAACCACGACGACCACCCGCGCACCGTCACGTCTTCGCGAAAGCGACGGCAGCCTCAGCAGCTCTGCGTGGGTGTGTGCCCCGCTGCTGCTCGCCGCATCCGCGCTGGCGTACACTGCTCTGGGCTGAAGAGGTGTGTGCGGGCTGTGCGTGCCAGCACTCAACCACGGGGATTTGTGTGCGTCTACTGTGGTCTGATGTAACCAAATAATAGAAAATAATTATTGTGTTTTTGCTTCATTTGCTTCCGCTGCCCTGCTGTGTGCTCCGCGTTGTTTTCCACATTTATCACGTTGAACGCATCCCAGACACACTCGTATGTACTACTCGCACACAACTGCTTGCATGGACGCATTTTTGTGTGTGAATGCATGCACGCTGGATCCATACTGTGCAGCCCTTTGTTTTTTGTGTTTTTTTTTGTTTTTACTGTATTGCTGTTTGTTTACCCGTGTTTTTTTTTTGTTTTTTTTTTTGCTGATCAATTATTGCGGGGCGTTGTGTGTGTTTTTTCTCCTCTCACGGATTCCAACTGCCTCATGGTGTTTTTGTTGCTGCTGGTGGGCCGCTATTTGTTACTGCACGTGGCTCTGTGACTTGTCTCTTTTTGCTTTTGCTCTGCGTTGACGGGGAGTTAGTTTGTGCTGAAGGCTACACGCAAGTGACAGGAGTGATGGCGATGATGATGACTGGCCGTGTGCTGCTGGTGTGTGTCCTCTGCGTGCTGTGGTGCGGTGCGGTTTTTGGACACGCTGAGGGTTTGGCAGCTGTTGGTGGCAGCTCCGGTGGTGACAACAGTCCTGGAAGTGAAGGTGGCTCACGTGGAGGTCCTGAAGTAAATTCCTCTTTGGAGCCTCTTTCTGTTGTGGGAGGTCCCAAAGGAAGTATGATGTCTTCGTTGGAAACTTCTCTGTCTGTTGGTGGTATTCCTCCAAATTCTCTTTCCGAAGAGGGTGATTGTTCACAGTCCCTTGGCGAAACGCTCAATTCTGAGGACGAGGTATCTTCAGATGTAAGTGGTCCGTCAGTACAAACAAAAACGCCTGGACAGTCCGATTCGCCCATCGTGAAGGCATCGGAGAAGTCAGATCCCGAAACAAAAACGCACATCTCTGATAAACAAGGAGAAGCAGGAAGTACAGAGGCTAATGAGGATGCAACAGAAAGCGAGAAAAGGCAGAGTGAGGTGGTGAAGAGAGACATTTCCAGCGCCCCCCAATCACCACCAACACCGCCAGTACCGGCGTACCCAGCAGAAGAAACCCCACTAGCACCAGCAGACTTACGGAATGCAGTAGAAGAGAAGCGAAACACACCGCCGTCACAAACCAAAACGGATCTCGAGGCACCAGGACCGTCTCTAGAGGATGCTGAGGCAGAGAAACACGGTGAAGGAAAAACCACATCCGATTCGATGAAGGATGCAGCTAAAGGCCGTTCAGGAGATTCAACACCATCATCCATCTCTACAAGTGACAGCGTTGACGCCCAGAGGAAGGCGGAGGAGGAGGATGACAATGAGATGGAAGCCTTCAATCCCAATGAAGCCTCTATTTTACCTTTGGTGAACAAAAATGGTCAAGGAAACGTGATTTCATCTTTTTCCGGTGAACAGCAGGAGCAAAAAGGACAGCCGTTGGGGAAAAGCGGTGCGGGCGGTGTACCCGCATCAGCAGTGTCCACTGTAACGAGTTCCTCAGCAGGCAAGGAGTCCGTAAAGCAGTTGGCGTCAGGAACATCTCCTGATGGGCATCAAAATGTGGATGGCGGTTCTACTGCTGATGGCTACCAAACGGTGAGCACAGGATATGGAGATAAAACGCAGGAGGATGGACCACACAAAACTCCTACGGGAAACCTTGCCACAGCAGATGCAAATGGCCCTACAACTATGGGCGTGGGGCAAGATGGAACCGCAGTGAATACTGAGGTGGGTGCGAGCTCTGCTGAGGATGAGGAGACGGTGGCAGGAAAGAATGTGCAGGAGGAAGAGGTCCAGCCACAGAACATGGATGTGAATGGTGCGGCACTCAACAGCAGCCTCGGACATTTGTCGCAGGGGAACAACAGCGATGCTGGCACTGTGCGTGGGAGCGGACTGCTGCCGCTGCTCCTGTTAGGACTGTGGGGGTTTGCGACTCTGTGAGGCGTGACTGGCTGCCGCGTGGGACAATTGCGACCTCCTCAGCAGAGACTTTCTTTCCCATGGGAACAAATTTCTCTCCCAAAAAAGTTTTTTTGTTTTAATTTTTTTTGCTACTTTTTTTTTTAATTTGTGCGTTTTAAATCTCTAATCTTTTGCTCTACCATCCCTTCTCTTTTTTGCTTTCAGGGGCAATCACTGTGGACGTTCTTTTCTTTTCTACTCTTCCCTCTTTTAATTGTTTCTTGCTGCACTCTTCCTGTGAGGGGTGCCGTGTGTTTCCCGCCCAACTGCTCCACTCGCACACCCACCGACACGCTCATGACGACGGCCCTGTGCGCCTCGCCTGCTGCACGCATGAGGAGGGGCCGCGACGAACGGCGCGCTGAGGGAGCCGTGACGTGTGGGCGTGCGACGAGGGCCTGTGGGGCGGAGCACACATTTCTTTCCCTCTTGTTTTGTTTTTATTGCGGCCAGGGCGGGCAGACACCCGCAGCGCCACACACACAGCCACACCCTGCCGCCGTGTTTTTCTTTTTTTTTTGCTGCGCTCACTCTCCCGATGGAAAGACGCGACTCCCGTCATGTCTGCGTGCTTCTCTCAGTCTCACCCCACACACACACGAGTGACTGTGCTCTGCGGGCCGCACTCACGCGCCGATGAAAGGGCTGAGGGGAGCAGCAACACGCAGATGGCCCCATGAAATATAAACGATGTGCGGACACGCAGAGGGTCGGACGGTTGAAAGACATTTAAATATCTTTTTAATTTTATCTTCGGACAAAATATGCAGACAATTTCTGGAGCAGCACGGTAGTTGGTTGCTTTTTTTTGTGTGTGTTTTTTCGTTTTTTTCTTTTTTACTTTTTTGTTATTTGTGTGGCCGTAATAGAGGACGACTTTTTTCCAATTTTTCTCTTTTTTCTTTTTAAAGTGTGAGGTGTGGAAGGGTGAAGATGAATTTTTGTTTATTTATTTTTATTAATTTTTTAATGAATTGCCGCTGCTTGGGCTGCAGTGCAATATTGTGAGCCTGAGCAGTTTTTTTCTCTTTATTTCTGCCATGCACCTCTGCTGTGCATTTTTGTTTGTGCGTCCCCTCACATGCTCTGCTCCTGTTTTTACTTCTTTGCCTCGTGTGTCTGCAGGCACAAACAAAATGCAAATTGCAGTGGATTTGGATGCTTCTTTTGTAGCGTGTGCTGGCGGTTGCGGGTGGCGGCGGTTCTCTTCTTCCGTGGCCATGAGGAGAAGGAAGGAGGAAGGGAGCGCCCCCGAGTTTCCTTTCCTGCGGATGCGGTGGTTGTGCCGGTGGATGTGTCGTGTGCTCCGAGTGACGGCAGCCTGAGCTATCGCGTGCGTGTGTGCGTGTGTGGGCGTGGAAGAAGTGTTTTGCTGCCAGTACTGAGGCTCAGCATGAGCACTATACTTTCAGCGGCTTTGATGTGCGCATTCATAGCAGGAATGGTGAGCTGGGTGCTGTGTGCCATGTGGCCAATGCGGTGCACACATGTAGCAACTGTGCTGCCAGCTGTGCAAGGAAAGAGGAAGGGGCCACCGTTGCCTTCACGATGAATGTGACGACACATAAATACGCCGGCCCTTATGAATTGTGGTGGCGTGAATTTTCCTCCGATGGAACCATCCATCCGCCTGCACGGAGCAGCGATGCTGACCGGACGGGCATCCGTCAGTTGCCGCCACCCCGTGAAGGGAAGGATGACACAAAATCTGGTGGGACAACTGCGCCGCAAGTCAATGCTGAGCCGTCACGTCAACACGAGGATTGGCGACAGTCTGCGGCGGCTGACGGACCCAACACCGTCGATCCGAGTCCCGCATCCAACACGGCGACCAACACGTCCGAGACGAGGCCTGAGTTTGCCAGCAATCCGAGCGAAACGATGGTCCCGAATGCATCCAAGAAGAGGCCTTCCTTTGCCAACGGTCCGAGAATATTAGTGGCGCTGAATGCATCCGGGATCATGTCTGTCACTTATGGCGGCAGGGAACACGTTGCTGCGGATAACACGGACGAGGTGAGTGAGCGCAACGCCACTGGACACAAATCTCTCGTTTTAGAAAATGGCGTTTCGGGCAGTGGATTTGTTGCTGAGGGTGATGCGGGCGAATTGAGTGAACGCAATGCCTCTGGACACGAAAACCCCAATTACGAGAATTTACCGCGCAGCATTCCGGAAACGGTGCGAGTCCCGAAGACTGCTTTGCCCTGCTGTACGACGCGAAATTGACACTGCGAGAGTTAACTGTTGACAGCACTGTGCATGTGTGCGTGTATTGGGCGTCGCTGCTTCTTCTGGGATTGTGTGGGGTTGTGGCGGTCTTCTGAGCCGAAGAGTGTGGAATTGCGACTCCTCACGGAGATCATCTGCCGCGTTCCCTGCGTGTTTCCTTTTATTATTTACATGTTACTTTGCTTGTTTTGTTTTTTTCCTGGAATGATAAGAACCCTTGCTGTTCCTTTATTCAATGGTTGGTTGCTGCACACTGTCATGAGTGACGTGTTTCTCCCTCTTTGTTTTGTTGTTTTTTGTTGCCCACACGGCTGTGCCGACCTCATTGCTGTGCGTCCCACGAACTGCACGAAAGGAGGATTGGAGGAACAGGCCGGATGCCGCAATGAAGTGTGAGGGATGTTGTGTGGGCTGGTGGAGCAGGACGATCTTTTTTATTTGATTTCTCTTCTTGGTGAAGGCATTATGTATACAGACACACACGGTTGTCTTGTGCTGCTTGACATAAGAAATAAGAGTGCTGCCCGATTGATTTTTTTAGAAGTTTTGGGAGTTTTGTTGGACTCCTATCATTTTTTTTTCCTTTTTTTGTTTTTTCCGCTTTTTTAAGTTTTGGTTTGCTGGTCGGTGTGGGAGTTCTGCGGTTGTAATGGTCCCATTTTGTCTCTTTTTTGGTGTGCGCTTCTTCTGGCTGCTGCCATTTATTACCATGCGGTGGCTGTGCGTGGTGTAGCTGCTGTCTCTCTCTAATTCCTTTCTCATGCTCTTGCAGATCGATTCCAAGTTTTTTAACAACGAAAGTTTTGATGATGTGCCGTGTGTTTTGTGTCGTGTTGGTGCTGGCACTACTGTGCTGCTGCTCGTGCGTGTTTGCCGTGGAGAATGAGCCGCAGGTGACGCAGGAGGTGCTGCCGGTGAATGCAGTGTGTGCGGGTGACGGTAATGTTGCGCGTTGGCAGCTCCCTGGGAAGTCATTGTGGTATGACTGCTCAGATCCGGCTTTTGTTTTTGGGCAGATGATTTGCGGCATGGGCGTAGGAAACTGTGAGTCCGAAGATGTTCAGAGACGTATAAAAGATGGTGCGAACGGTGGTGTCTTCACAATCAACGTCTCCACGTCTAATCCAAGCGCGGTGAAGAGATGGTGGGAGCGTAACGTGGAGTCGAAGGCGGTCACCTTTGCAAGTGTTCCGGTAAAACCTCCGGAAGGACCTCCGGGCTCTCCAGAGGGCAATGATTCTCGTGAAACATCTTCCAGAACGGATTCTGAACCTCCTGCTGACGCTGAGAGTGCGGCTGGTGCCCCTTCACTGGCTGGAGCTCCGGATGGCGCTGCTGAAAGTGTTCCGGCCACACATCCGGAAGCAGGCATTCCGGCGGCTCGACAAGAG